GCAAGACAGAGGCATGTATTCATTTCGTCGGAATATCTACACTTATGACAGCATGTTGTTGAAAAGAGCAGATCCTACTTCGCATCGAGGCAATTCAACATAAATTCAACACGTTCCAAGGGCTACATACAACATTTGAGAGATGAGGGGGCACTGGTGACACGGGCCGACCTCATTGTTTGCACTTTTTCATCACCGGGATACTCATGGCCCCCTACTTCCCCGCCGTTTCCAATACAAGTAGCAGCCACTGCTCTTGATAAACCAAAGCAGTGTCCTAGTCAGTTGTTCCTAATCCTGCTGTTGAAGCCAGAAATCCTGCAACACCTGGAACTGAAAACAAAGCATCGTGAATGGTGGAGAAATGAATGATTCATGCAAACCATGCCTTTTCCATCCTTTTCCTTGCGACCGCTTTGGTGCCAATTTATTCAGGGATATGTGCTTTGACAAAAGGCTTTCATGTCATATACGCTGCGAGGGACTCGGCGAGAGTCCCGGCGGCCCACGGATGAGGTTAACGGAGGACATTCTGCAAACGCTGGCAGAGGCAGTGCTGCCCTTGCCCAGACTGAGCCTTGGATTGGCAGTCTCTCCGGTCATCTTTGAGGGACCCAAAACCCCCCATTGGATGGCTTAGTGGGGATGACCGCCATCCCAGAAAAAGGGACCTGCTGAATATAAGCAAGGGGTGGTGTAGGTACTGTTCTAGTGTTTGTTCACAGGTCCGCTCTTCAGTGGATTTTCGACCAGGTTCCCATGCACGCCGCTGCTGAATCCCGCCGGCCACAATGTGTTGGCGACCAAAAACGGCCGTCAAAACACATCAACCCAAAACTGGATTCTTGATGTTCCCATGATTTTCCCTAAACCCTCATGATTTTCAGGGTTTAAATGGTGTTCTACTAATCAAGATTCTGCAGGAGAGAAATCCCTCAATGGTGTCGACCGAACAAACTTTTGACCCACTGCATGAGGGGTTTTCACTGATCCACGACTACCTTGACCAAGGGGCCGAAGCGAGTTGGCTTTCGCTCGTCCGGCATCGTGTCTCCGGCATCGCTGTTCCATGAGGTTCCTGTGTTCCGAGCATCGGCATGAGAGGTGGAATTATGATGACCAGAGTTTCAAGACACCAAGCCATCAACAAAGTCTCACATAGGTTTTCCTCATCTCTTCCCTTCCCTGCTTACTATACTCAGATGGAGGAGGGGGAACTCAGAGACGCTGAACTGCAGGGCCGGGCGGGCCGGGCGCTCGTTGGGCGCTCGTTGGCTCGTTGGCCTCGTCGGTCGCAGGACGCATTTGGAGTTGACCTTTGGCGAGATCCCTGCGATCTCAGGTGCTTTGGGTCGGATCGGAGATGAGACGTCGATGGGTTGCGGTTGGGGGACCCGATGGTGGGGCGGGAGATGGGGTTAGACGCCTTGGGCAAAGCATGGCAAAGCCATAGATGTTATGTCCAGTGTTATGTGCATTCTATGTCCTTCTCACGCAGTCAAGGTTTGACTAAGCATGGGGAGGCGAACTGAGTAGAGGCCTGGGTAGCCGAAAGACGTGCATTTGGTGTTTCTAAAAGAATCCTAACTTATAAGGTGGTTTTTAAGTGATTCTTTTCCTTTGGGGCTGTTGGAACTTCCACTTCCCAGGGGGTTTTCCACTTCCAGTTTTTTTTACTGCCGAGGCTGTGAGAAGACTCCAATAATGGTCCAAGGAGGGTAATTGAACCACGTGAGAAATCATATGACATCATGAAACAAGTCAAGTGCGATATTGAACCCACTCTTGCAGTACTCCTATGAACCAAGTGGAAAATTGGTTCGAGTTTTGGTCGGCCTGGTTGTTTGGAATGGGCCTAACCGACCTAACTGCCCCCTGCGAACTAGTCATAATTCTAATTTAATTCTTTTCAGGGTGCTGGAGGAATCCGACGAAAAATAAACAATAAACCCCCACACGCATTTCGATCTATACCCCATCTTGGGGGGAACTGACCCTCTCTTCAGCTATCCGAAACACGTTGAGCGAACCACCTTTGTACATGAGATTTTGCAATATTTTTATAACTTGGTTATATCAGCTGTTGCTAGTTAGCCTGCTTGAGTGTGCATTATTGTGGTTAGTCAATCACCTTTGTCAGAGACTTTGATACTTGTGGAGAGTAGCATATGAACTCAAAGTAACCCGCGTTTTTCATCGCCGACCGCTCAAAGTCACCCACGTTGGACTCAACACACCCAGAAAAAACATGCGAAACCCGAATGGATGTGTCAGACGGGATGTCTACTAGATACCTGGACTATCCGGAAGGGAACCGGGAAGATGATGTATACGTACTATATATACTCATGTCCGTACACTCAACTTCCTTGGTCGGAGGAGCTCTATATTGAGATCTGATGTGATCATCCAAACCCCAAATATCCCAAATAGACGAAGCAGGTGTTGGACAAATAGCTAGATTCTAGCCAAGCACGGATCGTTCACCAGCCGAGCCAGGTGCCAGTGGCCGAAAGTACTCACAGCGAGTCTTGCTGGACGTACCTCCCAGCAAACTCCTGGAGGCAAAGCCTCCAGGAGTTCGAGTGGATTACTATTCCTAGCGGCAAGAATGGTTTTGCTTATCAGGACTTCTCCCGGATTGATCAGGATTGATCCCTTTTTGGATGGTTTTTGAAGGATTATTATCTTTGAATCTGGGATTGCGAAATGGGAATGGCATGTTTCGCAGCCTCAAGTGCAGTTTCTGACATGGCCACTGATTTGCTTCGAGGGGTTCCTGATGAGCACATCCAGGATACTGTAGTCGATTTGGTTGCATTGCTTGAGAATCTTGACTCGACGGCGTACTACAACAACAACAACAACCAACAACAACAGCAACAACGACAACCACAACCACAACTACAACAACAACTACTACTACTACTACTACCACTACTACTACTAACTACCTACTACCTACTACCTATTACCTACTACCTACTACCTACTACCTATTACCTACTAGTGTATACTACTACTTACTACTACTTACTACATCTTACTACTACTTTTACTACTACTTACTACTACTTACTACTTACTACTTACTACTACTACTGCTGCTACTACTGCTACTACTACTACTACTACTACACAATAGCAACATCTAGGACTGTGTTGGTGGGTTGTGCTGTTGGATTTGTGTGTGTGTTTACAGTAACTCATAGCTGTCTCTAGCTTTAAAGATGTATCCATCGCTGTTTTTGTTGTGTTCGTTTTTGGGGGTGGTTGGCAAATATCCACTGAGTTTAAAACAGATCCGTCATGGTTTTCCTGTTTCCAAACAGGATGGAGCCGTCATTCCGTTGCGGTCGGTCTGAGCTCTTCCGCTCTTCGTTGGACCCTTCGAGTCGTTTGCACCGGTTTCGGGCGGTGGTGGCAGCATGGTCGCAGCCACGCACGGAGCAGCGCGCGCGCGCGCTTTGGTTCGCTGGCGCAGGGCATCTGCTCCTTTTGGGGCATCCGTTTTCTATTTTGGCCTTATAAGGGTATTCCAACAGTACCAGTAGAGTACCAAGCGCTGCAAAACCTAGAGGCACCCGAAGAAGCTTGGCAAGGGTCATGTTCGACGGTGGAGGTTTGGGACATGAACCGTGGAGGTTTGCGTCTCTCAGCATAGATCTATGTAGAGCTTCAGGTAAGAGACATGAGGAGACATGAGGTAAGAGACACTCAGCATAGATCTGTGGAAGTTTCAGATCCATGATTTGGTGCACACATCCAAGTAGCGCTTTGCAAAGAGCTTCACACACTTGAGCAGGCAGCCAGTTGTCACTACCTGCGGTGCAGGTGGTAGACAAATGTCAATGTAGACAACAGATTCAAGTGGAGTCTAAGACTCTAAGCGTATAATAGAATACATACATGTCTAGTATAAACCCTAGGGCTCCATCTACCTTTGAGCAGGTGTTTGGTTGGGTTTGGAGGGTCTAACTATACCCGGACCTTCTTTAACGAGGTTGTATGTACCAATCGTGCACAATGCAAGTGTATTCTCCTTTAAGAGTGCGACACTCACAAAGCCAAAAACGCATGCCTGGCGGGGACGCATCTGTAGAAGATTCTCAGCAGCGACTCACAGACGCCACTCAGGAACCCAATCCGGTTTGAATTTCAACTCAAAAGTTGGTAGGTAGGAGAGAAGATCCATGAAGATCCCAATAGTTACCGTGGACGAAGGATTTGTTTGATGTTTTTTTTTTTTCCCCAACTTTCATCATGTGTTTGGACCAAACAGATCAAAACAACATATTCCCCGAAAACGCTTTCAGAGCCCCGCGTGGCATTCTTCAACATGTGACAGTCATGTGGTCCTCGGAATCGGCACCGTTCCGCGTGCGAAACAAAAACCGCTTTGGAAGAAGAAGGTGATCAGGTCGATGAAGCTCCATGGGACTGGTTGACTTTTACCCAGGAAAACTGCGAATCAAGGACCAGCGGTCCGAATCAGGGACCGCGTTAGTATTGAAGTTCGATATCAACGTTGAGTTACGCCATTTAAATATCTAGAGGCCGGGCCAGGGGAAGTCCTCCTAGAGGTAGTGTACAATGTAAAATCCCTGTTTCGGTTGTTCCCTGCGATACACTGTTTTTGTCTTCCTTTGCATCCACTTGAAGCTGTTGCATCCCGGGCCGGTGGTTATGTATCCACAGCGTCCGTGTTCGGACGCCCACTTGCAGCGCTCAAGGCGCCCATGCAGGTGCGGCGATTTGAAGCGAAAAATTCACCAAAAGGTTCGTCCATTGCGCAGTAATTAATGGCCTCAATGGCCTCCTAGTAGCATTCTTGTGGGACCCAGAGCATTTTGGATGCAGAGATGGCATTTTGGGGGATCATGCTTTTGGTTGGACGGTCTGGAAAACCGACGTCGACTGGGGGTGACTACTTTCCACTACACGCCAGGCGGTCCGTTGGGGGGCTTCGCAAACTCTTATCGGGGATTCACTCTGCGGAGGAGCGCTTGGCACGCTTCTATGCCTCCGAGAAGGGCAAGAAGAGCTTATTGGTCCTTTGCCCAGGGATCCTGAAGCGCTTGGCCACCGACACACAACAAAACAACGGGAATTGCAACACAAATCATGGTCATGAGTCATGAACCCTCATTTTCCCCATGCATATGCACGGCCTTTTTGTGGATTGATTTCACTCCCAGGCATGAACAGAGTGGGAAGAGGTTAGTGCCATTCTCAGAAGGTAGTTCAACTGTTAGACTCCGTTTCCTACCTGAGTACGCGGTTGGGAGGGATAGTTGGAGCCTGGGGGTGTTTTTTGTCTCAGTCTCTCCACCACTAGTACTTCGTGGTTTGGGTTGGTGACTACCAAATTACGAAGGAAATGCACTACTTTTGATGTATTAGTCCCATGCATTCATTCGCGGGATGCCCCCTCACCAGCACGGTGTGCACAGCAGGAAACATGCCAAACAGTCCTCCCCTGCAGAGGGTGAAGCCATGCAAAATCCACTCACCGAGGTTCCGGGAGGACCTCTGTTCGATGGGCGAGTCAAGTCAGGGACCATGAACTCGATGATCTTGAGACGTTCACGGTGAGACAGAAGACCCTAAGGGGGCCCTGGGGATCCCTTAGGGCCGAACCGAAACCAAGTTTGACATGCACATGCTGGACATGACGAAACGAAACCTGGCGCCGATGGTTGAGTGTTGAACACCTCACCCTCTCGATGATTGTGGGTTCATCTCCCATGTATTTTTTCCATGGACATTCCGGCGGTCTCCACATCCTGCCGCTTCACCCAGGCGCAGCACCGTGCTTTGGCACGGGCAGTCTCGGGCGCGGCGCCGAGGTGAACGACTGTCTGGGACGGACGGACTGACATGAAAGGGTCCCTGGATGTATCATTTGTGAGGTGGAAATTTGCAGTGAATTAATGGATTGAGAACCAAAGTGTGTCAGCATGTCCACGAGTATGTCCATACCATTCCATACGATCGCGCGCACAAGCCAAGTCCGCGAGACGTGGACTGAGTGCATTACCCGACCACAGGTCGAAGTAACAAAGTGGACCCCAAATCAGAAATTCAAAAGTCACAAGTGCAAAGCCACCATGAGTCAATTTCCCGGCCAGCACCTTTGGTGAAATCCTTTGAAGGATATTAAAGGATTAGGTTTTGGAAGTGCTTTCATCTGTACTTCCATGCAACATGCTTTTCTGGTGTGAGCATCTGGATGAGAGCATCTGGGAACTCTTCTAGATCTGATGACTGTCAGTAGTTCCATTTCGCTGTGCAATGGAATAGGGAGACTCCAACCATTAGGTTTTGTCTTCCTGATTCCCAACAAGAAGGCCTATACCTCCGAAGTAAAACCCTTTAGTCTTTGAGTCTCTTCCTTGGAGCCAGGGAAGACCAGATTGAATGTTGCCTCATGACAACCACCCCAAAGATATGGGGGCACTGCAGAAAGACTGACCATGCATGTACGGACCCATCCCACATGTTGCACTTGCCTTATAGAGCCCTCCGCGGAGATCCGGGGAGATCCGCGGAGGATCACATGGTGTGTCGGTGTCGGATTGTCACTTCCACACTCCCAAGCCAACTATAAGCATGGACCGTTGGAAGAGGTTCCTCTACAAGTGCTAAAGATAATGTTAGACCATGTCAGACCCGTAAGATGGCTAAGTATTTCAGTAGCCAGCACCTATCACCGCTATGCAAGGGGCTCTGGTGCTTGCACCAGTCCTCAACGGCTTAAATCAAATCTTCTCGGCTCAGCTGCCGAGGTTTGCAAGTGGCCAGTGAGAGTAGCTCCGTCCTGCCACATGAGGCCTCCGTCCTGCCAGGTGGTGCCACGAAGTCGAGGGTTGACTGGGATGACTAGATACGTCGGTCATCTCAACGTCCAGGGTTCGTTTGGATGACGTCTTGCAACCGTACAAATCAGGCATCCCACCCCAATGCTTACACCGTTGCTTACACCAAGTTTGCTACGTTCGTACATCGATGGTGGGTTTGAAAAAATGATATTCCCGCACCATCATTTTGCAGCAGCGTTCGCCCCGAACAAGCTGCGTCGATGAACATATCTCTGGAACGCTCATTTGGCTGAGGTCCTCACTCTTTCTCAGATGACAGTGACCTTTTCCCAGGTGTTTGGTTTACACCCGCCTGGAGCTGCCAGCAGCTTTTCTAGGAAGAAAGACGCTGGCAGCAACTCAAACCCTTGGAAGGGGGGGCAGATGGGGGCATGATCAATGGAAGGCGTGTGTGTGCGTGTGGATATTTATGATGGCTCATCATGGTAGTTTCTCATGTATCGTAAACCTTTCTGGTCCAACTATTGTGAAATGCTGCGAGTGTTGCCCTTGCCATGCGCCTGACGCAGGGCTTCAACGCCTATGAGAAACAACCGGGCGATGTAGTACTGCGCATGCTGGAAAAGATCGCCAGATCCTTAGACTGAGGGCACAAAAACACAAGCCTTCTGCAAGAACGATGGATGTGTGTTTTTGTAGGATGTGCCGATCGGTACAATGACAAAAAAGTGTTCCAGAACCTGAACTCAGGTCTCAAATTCGACTTTTGTTTTGACTTTTGTTCGCCTCAAATCGCCTCAAAATGCTTTGGAATTCGGAACTCGATGTTTGGTTGAACATTTGGATGCACAGGTCGCTGACCTGGCCCAGGACAGCCAGGCGCGGACGTGCAAGGACTTCATCTCAACATCTCAGGATGCAGTGACTCTAGACGCTAAACTGCTGCTGATATTTTGCTGGTGTGTTGTGAATTCATTTCGATCGAACAAGAACTGTAATTTCTGACCAATTTGGATAGTCCCTTGAATTGCTGCTTTTTGGTCCGTCGATGGATTCGCAACCTGCCGGCGGGTCGTCCATCTCTGTTGTACCCTTCGACACCCATCTCTTCGACCGAGACGACTTGATCACCTTGAAGGACCAGATGGCGCACCCCAAGAGGTCCTGAAGAGATGGGGCGGGGTGTATATAGATGTATATAGTATAAACCACCAAACTCAGAGATTGTGCCATGGCGCCCTTGACTCTCAATCCACTATGATTGTTGTTTGCCCCGAAAGGTCCTTCCCTCGTCCGCGAGGCCTCAGAGAAGCAAGAGAAAGACGCTCAGTCTGAGTATGAGCGCAGTGCCAAGGCCCAACGGCGCGCATCGCAGCAGCCGGTGGAGCGGGTCCAGTTGCAAGTTTGGATACAGTACATTTTTGGAGGCAAAGTAGGAGCAGACTTCCTTGGGGGGTAGCATCTCTTCTATCAGGAGAGACGTATCGCTGTACATCTACTGAATTCATCTATAAATCACAGCGGAAGTATTACATTTACATATGAACTAACTATTTTTGATATCATGTTTATATAGTTGGTGATTGGTGATAGTCCGTTTTCTTCTTAGTTCCTAGGTGCTTGTTTTGGCTGCCAGGGAAAACTGTTTCCTGCAGCTTGATCATTTGCAAGAGGATGATTCCAACTCGAGATCTTTGGTACTAATTAGTTGAGATCAACAACAGGATCTTAAAACGAACTTGGACATTGTGGTTGTGGTTTTACCAAAGGTTCTTCGCATTTGTTCACCCACACTGGGTTCAAAGATGCTTAAGTCTTCGTCTGGAGCTTCAACCAACATCCCGCATGTATCATCTCAAAAAGCAGCATCCAAACCTGAACGAACATTCTGAAGAGCCGGGTTCATCCATTCAATGGATGAAAACGTACGTTTCTCAGCTTACAGGATGCTCAAGAAGCTCGAGAGGAAGCAACCCGGAGCTTGGCCGAGAAGAGTGGAGTCCGGGCCCTGTCCCGGGTCGTTCGGGGGTCAATCGTTGTTTTTTGGGTGGAGGGAAGATGCTTTCCAGCGGAAACACCGGGATGTTTCCGTTTTTAGGCAGCTGGCGGCCTGACCCAGAATCATTCTGAAGCACTTGTGATTTTGAGGTGAAAGAAAGAGTTGGTGAGGGTCGGTGGGGAGTCATGACTGGATATAAGGACCATGGTCGTTGGTGAGGGTCGTTGGGTGTGCTCAGCATGCTCACATGAAAGAGCGTAGTTCGTTTGTGACCCATCGTTTTCAGGCAGATGCTTGCTCAATGCTCCATCCTCTTGCAAACTCCAAAAGTAACAAGTCAATGCTTGGGGCCCTGATTGCACCACCTTCTGGCGGATTCCTTGACTCTTTTCCAAGGCGCTTAGCTTTTTGGGACCTTGCACACAGCGCTTGTATGCTTTTGTTGCAGCCACAAGCGCAAAAACGTGATGATCATCAGTCACATTCAGACCTGCACATCATTAGCATGGACCCACCACTTATGCTGTGTCAACAAAACAAGTGGCACCCATCTACCCACCCAAGACTTGTTCATCCAGGTTGATGTGAATGGTGAATGTTCTACACATCACAATGTTACTCGCAGCACAGCCCTTGCACACTTTCCACATGACAAACACCTTGCCTTTGCCCATTGCCATAGCCACTGTTTTGGCCGAGGTCAAGGCGGGCTTAGAGAAGCGCGCTTTAGGCTTGCAGCTGCCCGGTGCCCTGGTGACCGAGACATTTTGACCTCGCCAAGACTGTCACCCTGTGCTTGACCCAAGACTGTCACCCTGTCATTCTTGTTCCCAACTTGCTCACTTGGTCAATCACAGAGACCCTGCTTCTTGTTATACAACCAGAGGACTCCCTTCTTGGCAGTTTTCCATCGCCGCACCCAGTGCGGGCCAATGCGCCAAAGCGCGCCAAAGCGGGCAAAGCGGCGTGACGATGCTGCCTCCCGAGGAAGCAGCAAAGCAATGTTGACAGCAAGGCCAATGTGGAGAAGTATTTGAAGGCCAGAGAGAGACGGACCTAGTGTAGACAGAGCGAGAGAGTCACTGCTTTGAAGGACATCACGGGTTCCACTTTTTTTTTTTTCTGAAGATCACAGGGACCAAAGCATATACAGTATTTTAAAGTCATGTATAATCAATATCTCAACATCATGATAATCAACATGTTGACCAAGCCATACCGTGGTTTCCCACGGTGCAACCTTGGTGAAACCTCATGTGAGCGACGGAGACTTGACATGCGAAGACAAGCGATGACATGAGAGGGGTCCGGTAGGGTTTTTGTGCACCAAACACCCTGCAAAACGAAAAATGGTCCACCAAAATTAAGCGATCACCCCAGTGTTGTAATAGGATCATAGGATCATGCGACGAACTGAAAACAGTGTAAAACGATAAGGTTCAGCTAAAAACCGATGACGTCCATTTTTAGTTGAAGAAGAATGAGGAGTTTTGACCGTCCTTCATGTGTTTTTTCCAGTTTGGCCAGATGTTTCAAGTGATACATGAGGTTCCATGTTGCGGTTTAAATTGGTTTAATCATAGATTCAATCAACATGTGCAATGGCAATAAGGAACTCAAACATGAAGATTCACTATGGAGACCTTACTGACCATCAGCACCATCATCATGCAGTATTTCCTGGCGGTGCAGCCAAGCACCTTTGGAGGAGGTGGAAGTGGGAGGTGGCATGCAGGTGAACCCATAGCTAGGGAACAGCCCGGCTAATGGAGCGTAGACAAGGACTTTCCTGTGACTTCCTTCTTGTGCATTTGAACCAGACAAATGCTTCTGTCTTGTGGTAGGATGCTTTATACCCAGACACGGACTGGACGGACCGGACGGTTACATTGGCCCCTCTTTTGAAGCAGATAGGTTTGTATAGGTTTGTATAGTTAGAATAGGGAGACCCCCAAATAGACCAGGTCAGCCCCTTTGGTTAGTCTCCCTATTTTTTAGAACCAATTATAGTTCAGTCCTCGATGATCTTCCGTGAGGCCTTGCAGGAGGATTGTGGGGAGCTGGTGAAGAATTACCAGGCGCCGCGGTGGCTCGTCCCTTCCGGGCGTTCCGGGCCTTGCCCATGGGAGCACACAGCGGCCGTGCTGAAACTGGTCCAGATGAGCTATGAGTTTTTTGTGGCGAGAAGAGAGAGAGAGAGAGAGAGAAAACGCATATATTTTTGCTGACCAGACCTGAACCAAGATGGTGTGACACTTGGATGACCTGTCCAAAGCTCTCTTATAGTCTCAGTCTCTCAGTTTGTGCACGAAGGAACACATCTTTCCCACCAGTGGCCGTCGGCAACGCATGACCACATGAGTCGGCTGAGTCGGCTGAGTCGGCTGAACGCTTCCCCCGGGTCGAACAGGGGACCAGATCGGCCTGCGACTCCGGAGATCGAAACGGAGCTGTTTCCGGTCAAACACGGTCTGTCTCGAGACACGCACCAGGGAGTAGACAGCTGACAGACGGCCAGACTGCTTTGAGGAAGCTGCGCCACGTTCGATGAAGTTCCATCCACACCTGGATCTTGAAAGAAGATGAAAGAAGTACAGGGATTGATCAGTCAGTAATCACTCTGAAATCCTTCTTAAACCCGCTGATATAGCCCTGGGATTGATATAGCCCTGGGCGGTGGGTGATGAAGCTGTGGGTAGCACAGGTATGCTTGTTCATGTGGTTCTCCTGACCGCCTGGCCGGCAACGTGCACCGCCTGGGCTCAGCATGCGTTGAAGCTCCAAGAGTCCATGGGGTTTCCTTAGCAACTCAGCAGTTCACTCGGAAGCAGAACACGGTTTTTGACACGTTGTCTTTGACAAGACCCTCAACACCTCTCATGTGAGGCTTGCTCAGTCTCCCCATGCAACGCATTCATACGCTGTCGGCTGCAGTGACCTGGTTTTCGCCATGTCGGAGCCTGGTCTCCCTGAAGGGCATGGGGCAGTGGCACCACGTGGGGTGGCCGTTTTCGTGGAGGGTGAGACAACAACCTACGGAGCGCCTGAACGTGTCGCCGATGAGGCGGGTTGGCTGCCTTCGCGATGGCCGGTGTCAGGATGATGTGGAAGCAATGTGACAATGTGGACGGGGGCAAGTGACCCAAAGCAATTGGGCCTGTACTACTGGTACATACTGGTACAACCAGTTGGGTGTCACTAATATATATATATATATAGTGCATATTATATATGCAGTATAATTATAAGTAATTGTGCTACTTCAACCAATATAATTGATGACATAAGCAATGTGTCTAGTTCATGCTGCTTTTGGGGCTACATGGGTTCATGCAAAGGGTCAGTTCATGAGCCCAAAGGCTGAGCATGAGCCCAAAGGCTGACCCCAAACGATGATCACTGGCGCCATTCGGCTTGAGGACCACCGCCTTTGACCACCGCTACTTCGTATAGGACATCTCAAACCCATAGTATAGCACCTCACGTTGAGATCGAACGAGAGCAGGCTGAAGAAGTGGATGATCCTGAAGAGGGTGAGACCGTGGCTGAGAGAGAAGAACGAGAGGAGCTGGGATGTTCAGCAGAGATTCTGTTAGCATTCCCAGGAAGTCCAAGTGCATAAGACCCTGGTCTCTTGTGATAGACTAGGGGATACTTCCGAGTTGATACCCGGATCCACACACCCTTTGAACATCTTTGAACGGTGATGTGTTCATAGGCTTTGAGGGTCCGTGTACAGTACGTACGGACCTTCCGAGAAGGCGACAGTGGATCCGTCTTCGGTGTGTGAACCTACTGGGGTCGATGGTTCAAAGGCTCTTCATCAACAAGCTGAAGAGCTGGGTGTCCCATGCTTGGACGGAGGCGCGCTGATGTTCCCAGCTTTGGGAACCCCCAATTCCCAGAGCCGACCAATGGGATCGGAATAAATATGAATAAATGTCTTATTTACATTATATATACACCACCCCAATGTATACAGGTAAATGGTAAATATGTCAGTCCCATGGAGTGTTTGCGATTTGTATTGGTGCTCGGACTCGTTTCGGTGAAGCGACCTCCGCGCAGGAGCGCTATCGGCAGCGGCTGATTGAGTTGATGCGGAAGATGGATTTAACCTCGCAGCAAATCCAAAGAGTCGTTTGACATGAGTTGAGGATGGTGATAGTTTAGAGATCTTCCCCCAGTTCCTATCGCCTCAAGGAGATGCAACATGATAAAGAGTTGATCATTTGATCATCTTAAGTATTTGGCATATGAAAGTTAGAACTGGTCCTTTCTAGTTGGCGATATCTATCTGCAACCATCCAACCGGGCCCCAAACGGTCCCATGAAAACATGGCGACCGATCTCCTACTCCAAGAGGCTCCACCGCGACCTCGCGGTGCTTGGGGTGGGTGCCATGTGGTTGTTTCACATGCTGAAGCGATGACTCGGTTTGCTCGAGCCCTGAGGTGACGCCGTGCCACAATCTCCTGAGTTGCTTCGGGCGCATTCTCCGCACGGCGCAAGTGCGCGATTGGTATCACCTCAGTAAACCTTCAGCCACCTGGCAGAAATATCCTTGGACCCAAAGCTGGCAGAATGAATAGTAAGGGCTCCGCCCTGGTGCCGCCGACCCCTTTTCTTGGGGGAGGAGCGCGGCGCTGCTGCTGCGTGGTGCTGCTGGCTGCTATAACCATACACCGGCTATTTCCTCAAGACACTCTATTCTTGACACCTTTTACCAGTGCTTATCCTACACTACGGATGCCCTAGTGTATGCACAGTCCTTGTGATGCTTACCCCTCGTTCCGGCTGAAGGCGTAGATAAGCGGGTGGTAAATTGACGCCCCAGATTTGCCATAACCATAAGCCGGCTATTTCCTCAAGACACTCCAGTCCTTATACCTTTTACCAGTGCTTAGCCTACACTACGGACGCCCTACTGTATGTGCAGTCCGTATGATGTCAGAAATGCTTACCCCTCTTTCCGACTCAAGGCATACAAAAGCGGCGGGTAAATTTACCCCCCAAATTTGCGGAGCACGCATCTTCGTGCTTGCCAACGAGTGCACCCGGGTTGTCACAGGGCAGCGCCTGTAGCGAAGCGTGCAAAACACGTGTCGGTGAGCATCCAAGTGCGCACAGACCACAAACTGCAAGGGGAACAGGACCCTGACAAGGGTCGAGCTCCAACCGAAACCCAAACGGGCACAAACGCCAAGGCCAGGACAGTGCCGGCGCCACCACGAAACAGTGTTACAGAGGGCGGGCCTACAACGCACGACGATCAACGCGCAGACGCGCAGGCCAGACCGCAACAAGATACGCAGGGCACAGCGAGAGCCGCGAAGGAGACAAACGCAGCGCCGGCAAAGTTGCCTGGACGGAAAGCCGGCAAGGAAATGTTCCAATATGCGTGTCCTTTTTGTGCGGCGTCGGTGAGCAGCAGCGTGCGCACAGGCCAAATAGATCGCCGCCGTGCATGCGGGCATCGTTTTCGTGTCAAAGACGGAGACGTTGCCGCGAGGAAGTGTGACTACTGGAATGTCCTGCGAAGATCTTATTGGTTAGAAGAGTTATAAATGGTTAGATAAGTTCCAATAAGCTAGTTATAAGCTCTAGTAAGTAGGTTATAACTTCTAGTAATGGTTTATAACCTCTCTAACCACTTCTAGGTTTGAGGCTAACCTCTATAAACTTTATATCGTTTATCTAACCTCTTAGCTTGTTTGTTAGAGGTTAGCCACTTCAACAAACCCTAGGTTACTAAGTGGTTAGCTGATTTGCTAACCATTTAGCTTAAGGGTTAGCTGGTAAAGCTCTCCGAGGACTGAAAAATGTGGTGTCGGTGACTTTTTGGTCACCAAGTCTCACCACAACATGTTTGAATGTTTTTGAATTGAAAAAGTTATATGTTTCAGTTGAAATATGTTGTATTTGCATATGATTTGTTTTTTGAAAAATCTACAGTGTACACATAGTAATTTTGCATTTTCATTGTTGCATTTTCATTAATTGTGGGTTCTTGCCATGTCATGTCCAAGCCTGGTGGGTTTACCCTGTAGAGAGCATGCATGTTTAGTTGTGATTTGCCATGTTCATTTGAAATTTCACACTTTCATTTTTTGACTTTTTGGTCAC